ATTTTAGTTCTTTAAGTACCACAGAAAGCTGAAAATGGGAATCTCTGAAAATTGTTTAGCACAGTTGCAGCTAGTTTTAAGAGTATTGATTAGCTGTGATAAATGATCCACTAGGTAAAGAAGAAAATGTGAGCAAACAGATCAAAGCACGCTCCCTATAGCATGTCCAGGTCCAATGCCACATGAAATAAGCCATGATTGCCATTTTACCACTTCTACTCTGTTCAGTAATGTTGCTCTATTTTTCACCCCAAATGCCCATTCCTCGATGCCATTAACCTTTGCATTTAACTCATAGCCAATTAATAAGAGATGTTAGTGTTTTTAGGACTAAAGCATTTAATCCATAATAAAACTGATAATTTTTAAAATATGGACTGCACCTCAAAATTACCAGGGGATTGTTTAAAAATCTTATGTTCAGACTAAGTCCCTAACCATTTCTAAAAGGCAGGGTGTCAGGGGAGCCCAAGTATCAGGATCTCAGGAACTTGTCTTTCCAACCTGTGTCAAAGCTGAGAGTCATTGTTCTGGGCAAAAGTTGTGAACAAACTTTCAAGCATGTGAAGGCTATATATATATGTAGAGATGCTAAGTGGTGAAAAGGCTTTGTTCAAAGAAACCAATTATTATCAGAGAAACATTATGTTAAATTATTACTAGACTCAACTGCTGCAGCTTGGATTAAAAAATATTAACTTGAAGTCTATTTATATAATAACAATCATCATAGCAAAGGTTATTTTGTGTGGTTGTTGAGGATGATCAAAAGATACCAGGCATCAGAATGTTTTATAAACTATACATTATTCATCTATTACTCAACAGCCAAGCCACAAAGCCACTTATAATTAAATCAAATAGAAATTATCATGTAGGCATTTACATCTAGCATTTGCATCTAGCCCAGCTACTGGTGTGAGGCTCCTAAACGACCATGACCTGTGCTCCTGAACAGGAACTGGAGGGAGAACCTGCAGACCTTGTTTTAGATCGCCCTCCTGCAGTTGTGCTGTGTGCTAAGCTTTGAGAACAACACATCCAGGTGGACATTAGTGAAGAAGAGGTATGCAATAACCAAAACCAGTGGGTTGGTATAAAAAAAACTAACTGCTATTCTGACCTTTAAAAGATACAGAGCAAACATGGCATGAATTACTACTCAAAAGCAGACTCTAGAGTTTTCCATCATAAAATAGTATTACTTTCATTATTAAGTCAAGCTTTGTCTATTAATACATTATTACGGGCATTAATCCAATTGTAGTATATTAGGGACTTATTTAAATTACATAGTACATAACACTTTGGATAAGGCATATAGAAATAAATTCTAAGAGAAATAACAAGGTTTCTGGAAAGTAGAATTACAGCTGTCTGAATTGTCACATTTATCCTGAAGACAATACCCCATAGCACTTTAGCATTCCCAATCAGCCCCAGGAGGTGCTTCATCACTGACTCAGAGGAACTTGAAATGATTCATCACCAATGTTTCCTGTATAATTGATTTGTCATCGGGTCTGCTAAGCGACAGAAAAACAGTTTTTAATTTCTTATCTTAAAATATCTCATCATAGAAAACTATCATTCTTGCTTCCTGACTCATAGTTCAAAGCTCTTGATGTCAGTAAAGCACAAACAGAGCAATAGCGAACAGCACAGAGGGGTCTCGTGAGATTCCAAAAATGTTCTTTGATAGTGCTGGCTCTTTCTTTTGAGAGCTTTAAGGCTCCCACTACCTCCCCGAGAGTAAAGTGAACTACCATAATTAAGAACTAACTTTAGTTTTTATCCTGTTTCTGAGCAAATTGTATTTAGAAATACATCTTCCTAAAAGGTCTTTAACTGTAAATAAACTCATTTTGGGCATGATGGTAGAGGACTCTGGCTTCTTTCTTTGATTAACATTCATGAGCTCTGAAGAACTTTACTTCCTTCAAAGAGAAGCTTCCAGTATTATAGAATCTGGAAATAAAAACTGAGGCACATATAGGAGGAATAAGTTCAATAGCCTACCCTAGGACATCCAGTTTCCTACAGGGGAAAGAAGAGACATACATACTTTTTTGATCCTGAGTTTTGTGTCAAGTTGACAGTCTAGAGTCTCCTATAAGGGGGTCTCAGTGAGGGAATGTCTTGATCAGGTTGGCCTGTAGGCATGTTTGTGGGGGAGTGTCTTGATTAGCAGGAAGACATACCCACACTGGGTGGCAACATTCTCTGGGTAAGGGATATTGGATTGTAGAAGCATGGAGAAAACAAGCTGAGCACTGGATACACACATGCATTAACTCACTGTGCTCTGCTTGAGTGTGGATGTACTGTGACTAGATGCTTCAAGTTCCTACGTCTTGACTGTAGACTTCCCTGCAAGGATGGACTGTATGTAACCTAGAGTTGTGACTAAATAAGCCCTCTCTTCTTTAAGTTGTTTCCGTCAGGGGATTTTATCATGTTAACAGGATATGAAAATAAGACTATTGTCAAAATTATTGTTTCATGCCTCATGACTGCTCAGAATCACTTACTGTTTATAAATTCTTATCATTTTCCTAGAATGTTCCAGATACTGTACTAGGAGCAAAGTGAGTTCTCAAAGATTCAGACTTGAGTGACCAGGCCCTGAATGCCACAGCCCACAGTGCTACGTTTCAGTTGCTCTGAAAACCATGGTGATCCAGGATTGCGCATGGGCACCGGAACCATCTGGAGAGCTTGGGAAAACACAGTCCCTATTCAGTTTCTCTACAGGAGTTCTGACATAGGACCCCCAAATCAGCTTCTCAGTGAATCCCTAACTATGCTGAGGCAGCTGGTCCCCACATCACACTTGGATGACCAAGACAAATGACGGCTCTGCACACAACATCTGCCAACTCGCAATCACTGACCTCCCTCTCTCCACAAAAGCAATGGCCTCATAGATGCTCAAAATCACTCACACTCAAGCAGAATTTGGGGTTCCAGAACCTTGTCACATATAAGCTCAGTAGCTCCAGATTCAAAGGGGTTTATGCTATGGAAAAGAAACCTCTCCTTCCAGGGGCTTTTCTTATTTAGGGTTTTCTTCATCCACACATCATTTCCATTTTTCAATATGAATGTTATGGAAAAGAATAAGTCATTTAAATTTTTACTTTAATAAACTCATAGTCTTCTTTTGAATTAAGCTTCTCCCATGTTTGTTGGGCTATGTGCTCTCTGAATAAATTGAATCATAGAGTTGAAACAACATTGGAAATTCACTTAGTATCTCCTTGGCCTCAGACAAGATTGTGTCTAAACCACCCTCAAATGGAACAATTGAGCAAGAGAACAGGCAGTAGGGCTCCCAGTCAGTGTTCTATTGCGTACTTGAAGATACGACTATGTCTTTTCTTCCCCAAGTCAGCTGACCTCAGCTTTAGAGCATCCTTATTAGAATGCCTACACCTTAAATGATTTGAACTCATCCTTAATAAATTTAGCCTATTCTTAATAAGTTTATTTATACTACTTAAATATATGTTATCCTAATGATGACTTTTTTGTTGGTAGATAGATTAATTCATGGAGTGATTTAATTAGCACAAACAAAGAATTATGTAAATGACACTAAATATAATGTAATGGCCCTTATGGGAACAAAAAGTGATTAGTTGAGAATGATCTGCAGTCGTATTAGTCATTTTATTTTATTAAAAAGAAGTGGTGATGCATTATAGTTTTGAAAACTTTATATGATGAGTCATCAAACATTTTATACATAAAATGGGTGGGAACAGGAGAACTTTTAAAATAGATTAGCCATATTTTATGATATTTCATGAGTTAATATCAATAGAGTATTATGCATCCTTTTTATTTTTCACGTTGTATAGTCTTTATTATGGAAAGTAGAGTTATAGTAATGGATGATTTTAATTTTTATGACTCAAAACTATGGATTCTGTCATATTCTTTTCCTATTCAAATGCTTGAGACACTTGGAGATCCAGTGGCTATATGGACAGAGGTCCATGGAATGCATATGCTTTTGCACAGTTTAGAATGGGAATATGTCATTTATTTCAATTTCAACATTCTAAATATTATTATTTTGAATGTATACTTTGGTTTTTGGAATGGTGAGGTACTCTAGGCCTCCCTGGCTTTGAAGGATGGGTTTGCTCCTTGCCTGTTGTAATAAAGCTCTATGGTGGAGGTGGTGCATTTAGTCTCCAGAGAGAAGGAAGATGCTGCTTGCACAGCACTTCTACTCACCAGTCCATGAAGCAGCAAGGGTGTTGGCTTTGAAGGAAGCCAACTGTCCTGCTCTCCCAGCCAGAGGTAAAGAATTGCATTGGTGGCCACTAGAGGGAGGAGGATTAGGAATAGAGTAAATTGTGGGGAAAAGGCACCCATGAAAAACGCACATGGGACAACCAACACATCACCAACCACTGCCTACCAGCTACATCTACCTCACTGAGGGATTATAATGGGGTCACTAAACATCATTAGCCCAGAGACCCAGACCAGTAATTTTATGCAGCATCCCAGTATATTGCCCCTTAACTTTGATTGCTGGAGAAGGGAGTTTGAATGGGATTGTGGGAAACACACAATTGTACAAACACAAGCGTACAAGCACACATACATTCTCATGCCCCATTACAACAAGTTGCATCTGTGACGTCTGATTCTTGCTGGTTTTTAATTTAAAACTCTTGATGTTCTTTACCAAGAATGTGTTCATGAAAAGCAAACAGCCCACCTTCAAGATAGTCTTGGAGAAGAACCAGCAGAGATACTCATTGTGCCAAGATGTATTTTACCAACAAATCTGTGTAAATTACATGAGGTTGAAACAAACAGAATGTAATATAATTAAGCAAAGTTTCTTTTGTTAAATTACAGCTTGAAGCAAACCTGCAAAAAATGTTTCCAATTAGCTTCTTTAGCAAACAAAATACACAGCTCAGAGTAGGTTTTGCTTTCCACACTGCCAGCTGTGGGCTGCCTAGTGGGTGTCTTACCTCCAGCACAAGTAGCAGAGCACTCTGACCAGGGCTGATGGTGCCACAGAAAGCCAACTTCATTATCTCCACTGCCAGGTCGAGTGATGGGCACGTTGAACTTGTACCTAATTCCCAAATTCTGTTCTTGGAGTAGAACCTGCCATTGAAAACAACTGGTGAAGATAATTAAAATACAATGAGCCTTCATTCAGATACTTACTTCTGAAGAAGATAATGCCATAGGGCAAGTCTAACAGGGAATTTGGAACATTTATTTGTTTACTTTAGCTTTCTGACAGTCTCACTCTGTGGTCCAGGATGACCTTGAACCCAAGACAACTTAAGAAAAAAAAATCACTACATTTTGTTTATTTATTGGGGGGTGATGCACAGATTCTTGGAGCATGTACAGAGATCAGAGGGCAATTTGCCAGACTGGTTCTTTCAGTCATGTGAACCAGGGAGATTGAACTCAGGTTGTCAGGCTTGGTGACAAATGCCTTTATCTGATGGGGCATCTCAGTGGCCTTCAAGACAAAGTCAAAGCACATGAGTTTTTATATAATGTTCTTTTCTTTCTGTCCATGGGTAGTTTGTCACTGTTTTCATTCATACTGCTCAATCATAAAGCTTTTACTCAAGAAAACATGAAAATTTTCAGTGGTGGTGGCACACACCTTTAATCCCAGCACTCAGGAGGCAGAGGCAGGAGGATCTCTTTGAGTTGGAGGTCAGCCTGGTCTATAGAGCAAGTTCCAAGACAGCCAGGGATACACAGAGAAACCCTGTCTCAAACAAACAAACAAGCAAGCAAGCAAGCAAACAAACACATAAAAAATAAAAAGAGAAATGTTATCTGGCAAATCATTTTATCTTCATTACCTTAATTGCATCCCCTAGAAAATAGAGCTGATCAAACATGAGCCTTTTCTACCTCATAATGTGGAAATTACAGTAAAAATATAATGACAAAGACACATTTACCATTACAATGAGGTTTTCAGAGGTGGGTCCTAAGGCTTCCAGGGATTCTGGTTCATCTGCTGGTCTCTTATAGTGGAAAGCTGTTCCAGAAACATCAAATTTCCTAGGCCAATCAATAGTCCAGGCACCATTAATATAGTAATCATCTCCTTCAGATTTTAAAGCTGGAAAAGAGAGTAAAATCCACCTTAAAATGTTAAATTTCATTTACTAATACACTGTGGACCAGCTATTGCACAAAAAGTTATAATGAAGAGCCATCTCATCCAGGGATGGTACTGGGCCATCTTCCCTCTTCCCCTTTCTCCCTCCATCTCTCTCATTCCCTTGCTTGCTTTTCTTATTCCTCCCAAACAGTGATTGAACTTATTGTGGGCATATTCCTACCTGGGACCCCACCTTCTCAAAATAAAAAGTGCACAAACAAAATTGGGTTTTAGAAAGCTCTGTACAACATCCATATCTTGAGTCTCAGGGCAGGAAGGTGATTGCTGGGTGGCCTGAGGGGTAGAGGCAGGGCCCTTGCTCCATAAATGTTTGCATCCACAATAAAAGTGAGACTCTGAGAGACTGAGGAGCCATAGGGTAGGGTGAGGTAGCACCAGGCTCATGAGAAGCGTGGGGTAGCTGTGACCTAAGGCCAGCCTGGGGTGGAGAGTGGGACCTTTGTCTCAAAGCAAAGCAAGGGCACCCACTGAGGTTACAGGGTGTGCTTGCCTTATGTTTGAGACAAGGTCTCTCTATGGAGCCCACTGGTCACATACTTGTAAGTTTCCTTCTGCCTTAGCCTCCTGAGAACTTGGTTTACATATGATCTGCTCCTTGTTTAAATGCAAATTGGAATAACAAACTTGCAGCAGTTTCGATGCCTCTACAAGATCTGTACAGTAACAGGGCCATTAGCAGTCAGGCAGGAGTGGGGAGGGGCTCAGGGGTTCCTATCCATCACTACTGAACTATTTGCTACAGATACAGTTAGGAAGTTAGTTGTATGCCAACTAGTGACCACATCAGGCTCCAGTGGGTACTTTCAATTCAATGACCGCACAGATGACCCTGGTTAAGCTAAAAAGTCATAAAACAAAACTACAAGTCATGAATCTGGAGATGGGAATGGAGTGCTGATAGGGATGGGAGTATGTAGAGGAAAGGCTAATAATACTGAATTATATACATACATGTATGAAATTGTCAAAAATGAATTAATAACAATGAAATAATGTCAACCAAAGAACTGCAATAATTTTTCACATGACTGCTAAGAGTGTAATTACTTAAGTATTCCTAGTGTTGTTGGTGGAAATGAATGGAACATTTATATGAGAGGATAAGAAGGGCATTAGGAAAAATTTAAAGAACTGCTTAGCATGAGGGTAGAAGTGAGGGGCAGACTTTCCTCACTAAATATTGAAGGCATGATTACATGAGGGGAAACTTGTGATTCTGGTACATAGACACTGGAACCAAAGAATTAGAAAACAGACCGAGGTACATAAGAGAATCTGTCTTAGTACTACCTAGTGTGTGTGTGTGTGTGTGTGTGTGTGTGTGTGTGTGTGTGTGTGTGTGTGTTTGAAACAAGCTTGTTTTACCTGTCAATCCCAGTTCCCTTTACCCTCTAGTCCTCCCTGTCTTCCCCCCATCCCCTTTCCACCCCTTTCTGCTCCCCAAAAAGGGTGAGGCCTTCCATGGGGAGTCTTCAAAGTCTGTCATACCAATTGGAGCAGGGCCTAGGCCCTCCCCCATGTGTCTAGGCTGAGAGAGTATCCCTCTATGTGTGATGGGCTCCCAAAGTCTATTCGTATACTAGGAACAAATACTGATCAACTACCAGAGGCCCCATAGACTGCCCAGGCCTCCTAACACCCATGTTTAGGGGGCCTGGGTTTGTCCTATGAGTACTACCTAGCTTTTAAAAAACATTAAAATTAATTTCACTTCTCATACATTACAGCCCAACCACAGTTCCCCTCCCTCCTCTCCTCCCAGTCCTTTTCTTCCACCTTGCCTCTCCCCTAGATCCACTCCTCCTCTGTTTCCCTTCAAAAAAGAGCAAGACTTCCAGGGATGTCAACCAAACATGCCATTACAGGATGCAATAAGAGTAGGCACATGCCCTCTTGTCAAGGCTGGATAAAGCAACCCAGTAGAGGAAAAGGGCGCCAAGAGGCACAAGAGTCAGAGACAGCCCCCACTCCTACTGTTAGGAGTCCCACAAGAACACCAAGCCACACAACCCTAACATATGAAGAGGACCTAGACCAGACCCATATAGGCTCCTTGATTGCCACTCCTGTCTCTGTGACCCCTGTTGAGTCTTGGTTACTTGATTCTGTGGGCTGTTTTCTTGTGATGTACTTGACCCCTCTGACTACTACAATCCTTTCTCCCCTTCTTCCACAGGGTTTTCTGAGCTCCACCTAATGTTTGGCTGTCCGTCTCTGCATTTACTCCTATTAGTTGCTGGATAAAGCCTCTCTGATGACAATTATGCTTGGCTCCAGTCTAAGAGTATATCAGAATATCATTAGAAATCATTTAATTGGCTGGTTTTGTTTGCTTGTTTGTGTTTTGCTAGTTGTGTTTGGTTCTATCCTAGGTCTCTGGGGTATCCAGCCTCTGGTTCCTGGCCCTCCAAGCAGTGTCAGCCATGGGCCCCTTCTCGTGGCATGCATCCTAAATTGGATCAGTCATTGGTTGACTACTCCCACAAGTTCTGTGTCACCTTTACCGGAGCACATCTTGCAGGCAAGACAAATTGTAGGTTGAAGGCTTCGTGGCTGGGTTGGTGTACCAGGTCCTGCTCTGGAGGCCTTGCTTGGTGCCAGAAGATGGTTGGTTCAGGTTGTTCTGTATCCTCTATTATCAGGAGTCTTCACTAGGGTCACCCTCATTGACTACAGGGAGTTTCCATTGCTCTAGGTTTTTACCTCATCCCTGAAATATCCCCCAACTCCAGTCATCTCTCCCAGTACTCTCTCCCTCCAGTCCACCCCCAATCTGATCCCTCCTGTGTCCATGCCTACCTGCCCCCAGTCCACCCATGAAATCTCCTCTATTTCCCCTTCCCAAGGAGATCCACGCAACCCCATTTGAGCCCTCCTTATGATTTAGCCTCTGGGTCTGTGGATTGTAGCATGATTACCTGTGACTTCACAGCTTTTATTCACTCACAAGTGAGATCACACCATGTTTGTTTTTCTGGGTCTCAGTTACCTCACTCAGGATGATTCTTTTTTCTACTTACAAACATTTGATAGAAAATTTCATGATGTCAGGCATTGGTGGCTCATGCCTTTAATCCCAGCTCTTGTGAGGCAGAGGCAGGCGGATCTCTATGAGTTCTAGGCCAGCCAGGTCTACAGCGTTAGTTCCAGGACAGGCTCCAAGCAATACAGGGAAACCCTGTCTCAAAAAACAAAACAAACACAAATATTTCATGATATCATTTTTTTAAGTAACTGAGTAATACTCCATCGTGTAAATATATGCACCACATTTTCTTTATCCATTCTTTGGTTGAGGGAAAGAAATCTAGGTTCTTTCCAGTTTCTGGATACTATGAATAAAGCTGCTATAACATAATTGAGCAGATGTCCTTAAGCTAAGATGGAGTGTCCTTTGAGTTTATGCCCAGGAGTGGGACAGCAGAGTCTTGGGGTATATCAATTTCCAATTTTCTGAGTAATGGCCATATCGATTTCCAAAGTGGATAGACAAGTTTATACTTCCACTGACAATGGAGGAGCGTTTCCTCTTGCTGCATATCCTCTCCAGCATGAGCTGTTGCTTGTGTTATAGATCTTAGTCATTTTGACAGGTGTAAGACAGAATCTCAGAAACATTTTGATTTTCATTTCCCTGATGGATAAGGATGTTGAATATTTCTTTAAGTGTTTCTCTGGCATTTGATATTCTTCGGTTGATAATTTTCTATTTAGCTCTGTACCCCATTTTTTAACTGGATTATTTGGATTTTTTATATATCTAGTTTCTTGAGTTCTTTATATATTCTAGAAATCAGCCCTTTGCCAGACGTGAGATTGGTGGAGATCTTTCTCATTCTCCAGGCTTCCTTGTTGTCCTGTTGACAGTATCCTTTGCCTTACATGACACCTTTCAGTTTCATGAGGTCCCATTTACTAATTGTTGATCTTAGGCCTACACTATTGGTATTCTGCTCAGGAAGTTGTCTACTCTGACAATGTGTTCAAGACTATTCCCCACTTTCTATTCTATCAGGTTCAGTGTATCTGGATTTATGTGTATATCTTTAATCCACTTAGAATTGAGTTTTGTGCAGGGTGATAGATATATATCTATTTATATTCTCCTACATGCCAACATTCAGTTAGACCAGCACCATTTGTTGAAGATGGTTTCATTTTGCCCTTGTATATTTCTGGCTTCTTTATAAAAAAAACAGGTCAACAGATTTGTGGATTTATGTCTGGGTCTGCAATTCAATTCCGTTGTTCAACCTTTCTGCATTTATGGCAATACCATGCAGCTTTTACTACTATAGCGCTGTAGTAGAGCTCGAAACCAGGGATGGCAATACTTCTGGAAGTTCTTTTATTGTTCAGGATTGCTCTTGCTATCCTGTTTTTTTGTTTTGTTTTGTTTTGTTTTTCTTTTTCTTTCCCACATGAAGTTCAGTATTGTCTTTGGTCTGTAAAGAATTTTTATGGGGATTGCATTGAATCTGTAGATTGCTTTTGGTAAGATGGTCATTTTTACATTGTCAATCCTACTGATCCATGAGCATGGGAGGTTTTTCCACTTTCTGACATCTTCAATTTCTTTCTTCAAATACTTGAAGTTATTGTCATACAAGTCTTTCACTTGCTTGGTTACAACTACTCCCAAAATATTTTATATTATTTGTGGTTATTGTGAAGGGTGTTGTTTTCCTGACATTTTTCTTAGCCTGTTTGTCATTTGTATGTAGGAGAGACACTAATTATTTTTTTTTAGTTAATCTTATAGGCAGACACTTCACTAAAGGCATTTTACTTATTTTCTGGTAGATATTTAGGGATTGCTTATGAATATGAATACTATCATATCATCTGTGAAAAGCAATACTTGGATTTCTTCCTGTCCAATTTGTATCCCTCTGGTCTTCATTAGTTGTCTTGTTGCTCTAGCAAGGTATGGTAAG